AAATCAACCCAAGAATCAGAAATTTGTGGATACGCTACTGAATTGAAGCAACAAAAAATTTATTTACTGAATGTAATCTAGAGGAAATATTTATATCTGCATAAATTAAGGTGGGGTAGGAATAAAAATGTTTCTTTTCTATTTTGGCATAAAATTTGCATATTTTGTAAATGAATCCCTTAAAATAATTTTAAATTGTTAATTTGTAAATTGTTTCTTCCAAATATTAGGATTGAAAGTTTAAACTGAAGTTATGGCAAGCTTTTTCGTATGAAATTCGATTTTTAAGGATAATTTAATCAATTTTAGAATTTAAATTTTGTATTTTTGAATGCTCGTCAAAACAGGCCCTGCCCCCCTCCCCCACTTAAAACTTTATCAATTTTTTCAATTTTCAATATTATAGTCAATCATAAAAATTCGAAAATTTCGTAAGCAAATGTCCACAAAATATAAAAGTTCATTGCTCTAAAATTACAATTTTCATCAGCCCAATAACTCTGGCATGGCTTACATGTATCAACAGAATTCGGTCCGCTTCATATTCATTTTATGTTTAACATATTCAGTGACCACGTCTATTCAAATTATGTCAAATTTTCTCTTCAATGATTTTTACCGAAAATTTGCATATCATTGTGTAGATTTCAATATTTTAAACAATTTTTTTAATTGCATATTTTTAAGCTGCACGCGAATTTATTTGGAGCTGAAGTAAATTTTGATTTTTTAAGGGGGGTTTTAATGTTTATGTAAAGACAACTAATATTTTTTATAAAAATTAATATTAAATTCTTTGCAGAAGTTTAAAGTGGTTCGGATTCTACTATAAATTGTAGTCTAATTTGAATCGCAGTGCCTCCAGCTCAAAAAGACTGAGCCCTCTCCATGCTTTTTTTCCATTGGATGCTAGGGATGAGGGTGAACCCTCCAACTACGCTTCATTTGCAATAACTTTTAAAAATGAATATTATCAAATTTTTCATCATTGAATCAGATAATTAATTCAATATTTATATTAAAGTTAAATTTATTCAGCAATTATTTGAATAAGGAATTATTATTACATCGCATTTTGTGTGATTGCAATAGCTTTATTTGCGAATAAATTCAATTATAAACTCTTATGACAGGTGAGAGTTAATGAATTTTTGAGGATGCTTGAACATTTGATTTCGATGTGTTGTTGAAGTTTGTTAATTGCTTATGCTAAATGAAATATTTGAGTGTATGACATAAAAGCTTTTAGTAAAATGACAGGTTGATGTAGACATGAATTTTAATTTTGATAAATTCTTGACTTTAATGAAAAGAACATTAGCAAATAATTATTCTATTTAAATATGCCACAATATTTGGAGTGTATCCACAGGTTTATAGAAGCTATTTCTTATGTTTTAATTATTTTTTCAATTATTGAACTTCGGAAAATTGCTGAAGATATGAAGCTATTAAAGGCTATTAGGTATCGTATTGTAGGTTAATCTTTTTACTTATAGATGCATTTTAAAGGTTAGGATCTCTCGGATATTCTCTTATTATTGAAAATAATAAATCCACCCAATCACGCCCTCCCCTCCCCCTCATTTATTCAATTTACTAGGATTTTTCGCAAAAATATAAATTTTCACCCTTTTTCATACAAAATTTTCAAACTCCACCCTTGGAAAAAATCCTGACTACGTCGCTTGTGCATACAAGAACACTCAAAGAATCTTTAAATTTTCAATAAATTAATTTTTTTCAGTTAAAAATTCCCAAACCAAAAATATTAAAAATAAAAACATTTTTCACAACTTTTTCTCTCCAACAATTTCACAAGGAAACAAATCATGAAGCAACAAAAGTCAACACAAACAGCTTTTAAATGAAATCTCCTTGACACCATTGATCATTTTGACTTCATTCTCCATGTCATTCAACCAATTTATTTGCCACTTCTTCAACGAGAAAAAAAAATATTCTTTGATAAAAAATTGTCCACAGAACTTTCAGTCCATCTCATAAACCGAGCACATATGCAAATGTATTCATGCCAACATAAAGTTAATAAATGTAAATTTAATGCACTTATCAAACAGTAGCTTTTGACTAAGTTCATTTTTCAGTTCCATTTTCTTCACCGCACTTGCCACAGAAAAAAGAGCTTTTCATAAAAAAAATAAAAATTTAATAAAAATTAATTGTATTGAGTGCTAAGCACTTCTCTCAATGGTTCCATTGGGATGTTGAATATTGCAGTAAGGATGTAAGTAAGTTTTCTTTTATTGAAACAAGCCAAGAGGCACCATCTGGAATTGTGCAATTTTAATCAATTTTGCTCTTCTTTTTTTCGTGGTATTTTTTTTTAAAGAATATGAAAAGTCCATCAAACCACATTGTTCCTCTTCCTTCTGTATTATTACACTCGAGAGATTTTTATTGTTTTTATTATTATTTCATAGGGAATGCGGGTTTCTCTCTCACACAATTCATTGATCCAGTCAATTCTTTTACTGTATCTTTAATTCTCACATTCTCATGTTTACTTGACAATAAAGCAGCATTTGATATGACGGCAAAAACAAAAAAGAATGTAATGTGTTTTAAAGAACTTAAAAAAACAAGGAGTGTCACACACACAATAATCCATTCTGTACTGTTAACAATACTGTTTAATGCCGGGTTATATAATCCAATATGGAATGTTAAAAAATCAATTTGAGTCCATATTAATGAATTATTTAACAACTATCCATTTAAGTCCTTACTGTTGTGAAATTAATTTGTTATATCCACTTTTTTTCACGCGAGGACATTGAACGGAACCAAAAAAAAAATACTTATTCACTCTACTCGACTTTTCCGGGGGGTCTCTTTTTGAGATGTTGATCGTTGTGAATCCTTCGCGAAACTGAGATGAAAATGGTCCGAAATCATCACTTAAATGTTTGCGTACGGATGATAAAATCATCTCGATTTGAATGTTTTCGTGTCCTTTTGCAATGCTGCGCACTAATACATGCGAGAATTTTGAGAGAATAAGGACAAAAAACATTCAAGACTCGCTCAGAGAGAAGCTAATGCTTTATGAACTTTGATTTTCATTTTCATCTTCTTCTCATGGATGTTTAGCTGTATATACATTTTTTTGAGAACTTGAGAAACTTTGTGGCATTATCATCATTAAGTGCTTCTGTTTAAGAGGATGTTCTAAATTTTCATACATAAAATCTCATTAGATTCATTCATGAATATCTAATAAAATCTGCTTTAAATCATTTAAGTGAATTTTCTCTTCTTTTTCCTTTTTGACTCATTCCAACTACCTTTTAGTGTTTTATCAACATTCCACTTTTTATGGACGTTTATTGAGAACTTTTCTTATTATTTTTTACGCAATGAATTCGCTTCTCATTTCAAAATATTCAATAGGATGAGGGAAAGAATGTAATTGTGAATTTCTGAGAATAACAGCCATTGACTGTTCAAGAGGAAATTTATTTTTATTCCATTATTTAATTTAATATTTTCGAGTGGTCGGCATGGTTTTGTGAATTTAATTGAATTTTTATAAAAATATTTAAATTGTTTTTTTTTTGGCAAGTTAATTCAGTGTTGATTTAAGGATTCAATTTAATGTCTTGATCTTAGCATAGCGAACCTTCTGATAAAAATAACAATTTTTATTGAAAGCTTTTGAACAAATTTATCATTTTAATATTTAATTGGACTTTCGTTATTGACAACTAAGTTGAAAAATTAATTAAAATTTCCCTTGTAATTTTAACAAAAAATTTTTCTTTGACATCAAAAATATAGAAACACATTTTGACATAAAACTTTAAATTTCAAAAGATTTCAAGTGCACAATATGCTAAACGGAATGTGGAAATGTAAATTGTTATTAAATTTGACAACTTAAAACAAGTTTACACATGAACAGGATGCAAACAAACTTTGCAAATATTATAATTTGATGTTATATCAGTTATAATTAAGTTAACACATTGTTAGATAAAATATTTCGCAAATCAAATTAAAAGTTTTTTTTTTCATCACGATTCTTTAAATTAAATATCATTTCAGCTTCGAATGATATCATGCGTTTAGTTATAATTGCTGCAAATTGATACTTTTAAAGCATTAGATTCTGAAAATTAATTGGATGACTTAATTGAGTGTTGAATGTCGGATTTCAAACTATTTTGAAAAATACTTAAAATAAATACACGAAATAATTGTGAAAGATATAAGGATTTTTAGGATATGTTGAGTAGATTTGTGGTTGTGGTTGTTTTAATCACTTTAGAGTTAAATTTGAAAACCAAAGTAAAATCTTCTTTGACAATTAAACACTTTTTAGATTGAGCAATTCTAAAATAATGTGACAAATCCTATTTGTCAGTGAATTAAGAAACCTCAAACGATTTAGGCTCTACCTTTTTCAAAAGAATCTAGCTTACTTGATTCCAATCATTCTTAAGAAACTGAAAAAATATTTTTATCCATAAAATTCCTTTAACTTTATTTTAAACAAACTTATTCAAGAAAACTCTCTGAAAAGAATCTTCGCCATAATTTAAAATAAACCTCCAATTATGAAATTATAATTTAAAGTGCCCATCATCATGGCCATTTGGGAATGTACGAAAATAAACATCCAAAGATACTTCAAACGATTCTAATTGCATTCATAGAACGAGAGTGGAAGTAATGATATCGCATAAAATGCGACTGAGCAAGAAAACTGTCTATTGAAGGAAATAAGAGAGGTTGAACATCAAAAGGAATTCCCGGGGCTGAGATACTTCAAAAATCAAATCATTATTTAAGTTTTGTGCATTTTTTTAAAGCACATTTTCAAAACTAGCATTCATAAAAAAAAATCTGAGATATACCAAATTTCCCACAGTTTCAGTATGTCCACCCCCATCAAAAAGCGTCGTAATAATCAGCATGAATGGTAGGTAGAAAAATCTTAAAATGAACCTCAAGATCAAAAGAGCAATTTTACATACCTGAATAAGTTGTTGTTGCTGTTTGTTTATCATGGGCACTTGAGGCAATGGCCTCATTTTAGCTGCAGCTAGTCTCAAACTTTGTACATAATCTTCATTCCGTATATCACTCTCGGAATATCGATTATCATATAATCCCGTTACATTCACGTGCTCAAAGCTGCTCGACGTAACTTCACCGAATTTAGATACTTCCATAAATTTTCCTGATGGATCTTTTGAGTATTTCATGCTGAAGCATTTATAGGTATTAAGTGGAGATTTCTCTTCAATATATTCGCTCACTTGAAGCTGCGATGATGGATCGATGTAGTCATTACTTCTGTATTTTTGCAGCGGTACAAATGTATTTTCACTTATGTAATTTATTTGGTCGGTTGATGAATTTTGTCTATCAAATGATCCATTAAGTGTCAATAGTGGCGGTTGCATTGGAACTCCAATTTTTTGATTAGATCCAGACAGTGCTTTATTGACTTTTCGTCGCTCATATGGACTTGTAGGCTTCGGTTTTGGACTAGATTTAATATAATACCAATCACTGAGTTGCTTTTGCTTATTTAATGCTGCTTCAATCTCATCATCAATGCCACCATTTGGATCGTAATTGATGATATTGTTGTCTTTGTTCTTTTTCAGTGAATTGTTATAATCGATGCTGTTCATCAACATGTAATTATTTTTGTTGTTATTCTGCGTCATATTTTGTAACTCTGTTGCTTTATGATTAATACTATTATTATTATTGTTGCTGTATTCACTTGATATATTCCGATTCATATTGCTAATGATGTTTTGTTTATTCAAATGATAATCATCTGTTATTTTAAGTGTTTCGGATGTTGAATTAAATTTATCAAGTGATTCATAGCTTGAATGTGCAGCTACAACTACAGTTCTTTGTTGCTCTATGAATATGTCATCTATTAAAAGAGAAAGAAAGAAAAGATAAGAAGGGTAATTTCATGTGTTCAAGTGCATTAAGTGTAGCTATTAGTGAGGAACATGAAAGCATATTTTATGCACGAATTTGGAACATAAATTTTAAATATTTTCGTTTGCATTATTCAAAAGTTTTTTTTAATGCTTTTATAAAATATGAATAAAGTTCTATCTGCTTTTTGACAATCCTTAATCTCACGTGATTCCATTTAAATTGAATTTTCATATGTGGAAATATGGAAGCGTGATAGTTTTTAAAATTGATTCTTTTTTGCCTGCTCCAGAGGATTATTCAAACCGTAGTCATTGTCAATTATTTAACAGATTCTGTTTTTTAAAAACTAATCAAAGGATATTAGTTTTTTAAAAGAACTTTGAATTTTTAAAAGAATTTTGAATTTTAAAAGAATTTTGAATTTTAAAATAATTTTAAATTTTGAAAGAATTTTGAGTTTTAAAAGAATTTTGAATTTTAAAAGAATTTTGAATTTTAAAAGAATTTTGAATTTTAATAGAAATTTGAATTTTAAATAAATTTTGAAATTTTAAAAGAATTTTGAATTTTAGAACAATTTTGAATTTTAAAAGAATTTTGAATTTTAAAAGAATTTTGAGTTTTAAAAGAACTTTGAATTTTAAAAGAATTTTGAATTTTAAAAGAATTTTGAATTTTAAAAGAACTTTGAATTTTAAATAAATTTTGAAATTTTAAAAGAATTTTGAATTTTAGAACAATTTTGAATTTTAAATGAATTTTGAAATTTTAAAAGAATTTTGACTTTTAGAACAATTTTGAATTTTAAAATAATTTTAAATTTTGAAAGAATTTTGAGTTTTAAAAGAATTTTGAATTTTAAAAGAACTTTGAATTTTAAATGAATTTTGAAATTTTAAAAGAATTTTGAATTTTAGAACAATTTTGAATTTTAAAAGAATTTTGAATTTTAAAAGAATTTTGAATTTTAAAAGAATTTTGAATTTTAAAAGAATTTTGAATTTTAAAAGAACTTTGAATTTAAAATGAATTTTGAAATTTTAAAAGAATTTTGAATTTAAAACAATTTAAAAAAATCGTAAAAGTTTGATAAAATAATTAAATTTAAAAAAAGAGCTCAAGGTAGAAAAACATAAATTTTAATTTGATTTAAAATCAATTAAATCAAAAAAATTATATTCATAAAAATTCTACCTGCATTGACTGAACGTGTTAAAACAAAACCTCAAAATTTATCGAAATTCCTTTACAACTTCATACGTTAAATAAAGCTTAACAACTCTCCACCAGTCAATACAATTTCTTCAAACAAAATTGAACGTGCAATATGCTCACCAAATAAACCACACTAAATCTCACTTCAGCCATAAAACACGGCACGAATATAAAGAAACTTATATTTTTTTTGCTTCACTCACCTTGGTTCTGTGGTAATCGATTAATTCTCATTTGTGGACTGTGCGGACTCGACAAATTCTCGCAGCTCACGTTATCGAGAAACCCATTTAAGCTCATTGCATCGGCTGGATCATTTGGTAAAGTGCTTTTATCAATAACAGTTGATTTCTTTAGTAGCATCTGGAATGTATTATGAGAAAACATTTATCTTTATATTCCTATTTCCATTCATCTATTCATATTGTTTACTACAATAGAACTAAAATTGATTTTTTATATATTTTTGTACCGATTCTATTTTTATATACCTAGCAATGCTCATATCGGTACAAAAATAATAATAAATGCAGCAATAAAACTGACCTGTATAGGCTCTTCCTGATCGTGACTACTCTCGTCACTACTCGAATAACTCGACGATGAATAATATCGTTCATGAAATATTCTATGATTTGGTGTCGTTTTGTTTCTTATGCGCGATGTAGACGATGATGTTGCAAGCAACAATTGTGGACTGGAGCATCTCCGTTGTTGTAATCGACTTGTTTTGCGGACTGGTATACGAGATCGAAATGATGCTGACTTTTTAATTTGTGACATTTCTTGGACGGTAAAGCAATGGAAGAGTTGTTGCTTCCTGTAAGAAGGAGGTAAGAAGAGAAAGAGAGGTTTAGTATTATTGTAGTTTATATGCAGTTAAAGTACAAGTTTCCCGAGTGACACAGATAAATTATTGACATCGAAGGCTCAGCTACCATGGCTTCCATGAAGCCTGAATAAGGCTTCAATGTAGCCAAAAGGTTGCTTTAAACATAACCTTCATATTGCTACTATGTAGCTAAGTGGCTCGTGGATCTCTTTACGACGTTGTGCTAACAACTAAGTGGACACAAGACACCATTTGGCAACCATTTTGAAGCCATACTTTTAAAATTCATTAGAAATTTATATGGATTTCATCATGGATCATTTGAGCTCCTTTGGATGGTTCCCAGAAAGCTCTCGATCATGGACACTTGACGTCAGCTTTTTTATTTGTGTCGCTCGGGTTTATGCGTTAAAAATAATCAACAAACAACATCGCAAAAAAAATCCCAACCAACCAAAAGCTACTTTAAAAGCACTTTAATACCAATCACGTAACTTTTTTCCATACCAAAAAAAAATAACGAAAATTTTTGACAGACAACATACTAATTGGGCACATAAAATGATAATATCACTGTCAGTTCAAAATGCTGCTGAATAAGTTATGTGGTTTTATTTCACTTTCTGCTCATAAAAAAAGGGGGCCCGTCAAAAATGAATTCTACGTCATCGGAGACCACTTTTAGTCATTTTTTGTGATTTTTTTCCATGAAACTGTATTTTGTTCTTTATTGGTATTATAGAATTCGCCGAGACGAAGAGTTTGAAATCATTATCATTTTCCTAGCATGTCTGGTTCCTTCTGTAGAGCCATTCGAATATCCACCGATGACGTAGAATTTTCGGGAAAGGGTATTTTGAGTGTAAACAACCTTTAATAACTTCTTTATTCCCAGCTTAAATTTTAGTTTTTCTGTACCAAATTGTGCTATTTCTTCTATTTGTTCATTCAAATTATCATTTTTATCAATAAAATGATTGGAAGTTACTTAAATTAACACTTTAAGTTTCAAAATCTTGTAACGAATATCATTTTTTTGAATTTTCTTGTATGTTTTTGTCAACAAAAAAATTTTATTTTTTCGAAAATTGCTGAAAACATAATTAAAACGTAATACAGCTCATATTTAAATGTCGATAGTATGTTTCTAAGGTTCTATTTTGTGTTTTAAAAGAGCTAAAGTTACAAATTCACGAGTATTAATTAGATTTTCAGCTGATTAAAGTTTTGGTAATTTTGCTCGAAAATATGTGAAATTTTTGAATTTTATTAAACCGTTAAACTGAAATTCCTATTATTTTTGACGGGCCCCAAAGCTATACCGAAAACAAAAATCATTTCAGTTTTCATTGAATTCATGCTTGCATGATTTATGCATTCAACTTTCACATTCAGATTTGCTCATCCATTTATCTCTCAAAAAAAAAAATATTTTCCCTTTCATATTCACACGGCTGGTATTGTTTTATTGATATTAAGAATATTCTTTGCTGTTGTGACTTCATACAAGCTAGAAACAAATGAAACTATTCGTCGAGTGTACTTAATTGTCTTTCACAAGGTCAAAACTTGTTTCGTTCGTTTGCGTTGACTGAACAGGCGAATAACATCAATCATTAAATTGCTTATATTTGCTTTATCTTAAATCTAGTTGAATGGAATTAAAAAATGCTTCGAGAACGTTACAAAATAATTTATGGCAATGTACATGCTTAACCAGCATAGTTCGGTTCTTATTTAAAGTATTTTCAATTATAGATACGTAAATTACTAAGATAGAAGTCACTTTGTATTTAGATTTTGAAGTTATGACGATGATGAATGTTGAAATGAATTCTCAAATTTGGAACGTATGTCGGGTAATTTTGGTGATTTTCTGCATGAATGAGAATCATGTCTAAAGGCAATTTTCAGACTAAATGATTTAGAAAAGAATTATTAACATAAATAACGAGAGACATGAAGAAATAGATTCAAAAATTATGTTTGCATGATCAAGATACAGTTAGGTGGACTTTTTGATGGAGTAAAATTTTGAATGGTCAGATAAAATAATGAAAGTCAGCTTTTACGTGGAGTTGACCCGATAAAAGTTCACGAAAATGATTTTTGTATCAAAACTGTAAACATTTTTTTTTTCATAATTTATTTCCACTGCTAAATATGGGTGAACAGCTGATTTCTATTTTTTTTTACATAAAACGAAAACAAGGAAACAAAGAAGCAGCTGATTTTTAATTTGCACATTTTATAAAATTAAAATCTTTGTCTTTCACAAAATAAATATTTGAAATCTTAGTTGTAGATAATAGATATTTCAGCAGATCAGATCACCGATAACAAACTTTTGTTCAATATTTTTTTGTGAATTTGAATTGCTGCGTTGACTCAAAAATTTAACATTTTGAAAAATTTTTAAAAATTATTTGATTAGAGATCATGAGTATCTAGCTAGAGCTCTCTGGCTTATGAGAGGTTCTCAAATTGTATGCTGCAGTAAACTAGTGTTCTATAACATAACATAGCAAACTAGTGCAGAAACATTCAATCTATGAAGTTCTGTAGAATCTAGCCAACTTTAGACTAAGTTCTCAATTAAAATTAAGATCAAACTTAATTTTTTGAAAAACACTTTATTCAAATACTTAGATTTATTCTAGAGTCATTCATCCCGAGCAGTCTTAAATCCCAGTTCCAGAAATTTAAAAAGTCAGTTTTAGATATGTTTAGAAAGGCTGAATTCATATTGACCAGCTTAAAGTTTGCATACAAATAAATTTTATCTTGAACCCTCACGCTACGCAACTGCTCTATCTAAATAATAATTATCTCTAAACTTTCGGACACAGTCTTTTCTGCCTTAAGAGTGTAGATATGATTTAGTGATGACATGACAGCTAGTAATTAATCCAACTTCATAATGATCACTAAACGCATGCAACATATAATTTAAGAAGCACATGTCATTATGTTAACAAAACTTGATCATGTCAAATTGAAAGAGTTACAAGAGAATCTCGACCCCACATTTTTCATTTAACTTTCTTTCAACAACTATAAAATTTTCATTTTTGGTGAAATCAACTCAGCATTTATGTCGAAATCTATCAGCCAACAATAAAGCATATGGTACTGATCATGTACTTAATAGCATGTAATTTCTATTATATTAAAAAGTACTTAAGTTAATTATTACTCAATTTAAGTCTATAAAAATAATTTCATTTACAATTTAAGTTTCCAGCCATGCGAATATGCACATGCTACCACAAAACCCCAACAAAAAAATAGTTTCTAATTTTGGATGAAGATGAAAAATTCAATTAAACTTCTCCAGATCAATTTCAATTTTCTGAAATGTTCATAAAAAATTAAAAAGTTTAGTTCTAGTGCCATTTTCATCTGCTTGTATTTCATCTCAATTTATATATATTTTAAGTTTTTCTTCATGTTTATGCTCCATTCTGTTTATTTTTTCTAGCTCTAAAATGTTGTGAAGAAAAGCAGAAACTTCAACTTGATGCTCACAATAAATTAAATTAAAGCGATTTGGTTTTGTTTTTTTCGTGTTCGTGCGTTTTTTTTCTTTTAATTTCATTGACCTTATTCATAACTGGAGGTCAAATGAATTTTTGGAGTGAAGAATTTTCACTTTTTTTTGACGGAATTCCTCAATTTAAATAAATTTAGATAAAAAGCCGTAAAGATAAGCAAAAAAAACCAGGAGCCTCAATAAATTTTCAATTCAATTAAAGCTCTTTTACATTTAATTTGACATAAATTCGACTACTGGAACCAACTATGTAAAAAATACTATTTTTTTATTATTAAATCGCTAAAATTCAATTCAAATGAGAATCAATGGAGCGAACAGACACAAAAGCATTTTTCTGTATTTAAAATTCTTTTTTACAATCAATTGTGAGGAAGAAGATGAAAAGAAATTTTTTTATTTCAATCTCTGCTTATTCATTCATTGCTTAGCTTTACTCAACTTGCTGTTGTAGCTCTGCTGATGTAATATGTAAAATTGGAAACAATCTATCTTTATGGATGGATGAGTTATTATTTAAATTTGATTTACAAGAAGTTTCGATGTGGAATTCACTAATTTAATATTTAAAATTAATTGTTGGATGTGACTCTTAGAAAAAAACTAATAAAGAACTATTTTGGTAGATAAAGAACATCTTATAAAATTCTTAATTTTCCTCAAATTTCTGATTCCAATTAACGATAAGAAAATGCATCTTGGGCCCGGTTTCTAAGGGTTCTCAGTGCAAGCTCTAGAGATCAATGTTGTAAATCCTTAATTATCAATATAATTTGTCTTTGATTAGGGAACCCCAGCTAGTCATGGAAGTAAACCCTAAGAACCACAAAATTAAAGAGTTAAAGCTATTGAACGACTTCATCGTTCCTAATCTCGCGATAATTAATTATCAGCAAACAATCTAGTCTACCTCAATAATAATCAGTAAAACTTCGCAAAATAAATTCATGCTAAGCTAAAAGAAGCTCAAACAGAAGCTGTAAATTACACATCAACTTGTTTCTCTTGTCAATCACACTATGAATCCATCCGACTAGCACTTTATAATTTTATTTTGGGAATCACTTCCTCTTTCATAAAAAGACATTAAAGTAATTACACAGATGATGATTGTGATCGTCATTAATAAAAGAATGAAAAATGTAAAAATAGAGATGAAGCATGAATCTTCTCATCGAGTTACGAGACACAAGAAATGTGCCTTCATGAATCATGAAAAAGTTGTTTTTCTAGTAAATTTTCAATTTTATTTTATAGCAAATGAGAAAAATCAACACAAATAAAAATCGACAGACATAAAACACGCCACAATGAATTGATGATGACCGTAAAGTATTTAATTCGATATCATCTTTATAGTTGAAATGGAAACTGTTTTAAGGTCTCGAATAATTTTCAAGCATAAGATTAATTCATAATTGTATATCATGGACGA